TTATATTGTATTAATAAAATACCACCAGAAAAAACCTAAAGAAAAAAAAAATGATACGTTTAGCCAATGAATCCACACACAACTTTACACATGCGGTTCAGATAAAAAAATAGAAATTTCTTCCCTTAAAGGCTTATCCCTAGCTTACAGAAAAAACTTTGAAATGCAATCTGTCAGGCAAACGATCAAGGAAATGACCCCCGTAGTGAACCCAAGCGGCTTCTATGCTTTCAGTCCTGTTGAATACAATTTGAGCGACAGCTGCGATCACCTTGAAGGAAATTGCCCTGATTGAGGGGGCCGAGCACTTACCTTGTGGGATTGGAACCTGTTGCCAACTCTCATATTGAAGATCAAAAACTACAAAAAAAAAAAAAAAAAAGACTACCAAATAACACCGCTTACCTCTTGGGATTACAACCTCTTGCCAACTTCCTTATTGATGATCATATACCATGAAATAACACCGAATCTGAGTCAAACACTCCTCACCTGAAAAGTCCTGTAGTTCGTTGTCATTGACCTCGCGAGATTCGACATGTTGACAAATCTCAACCGAGTCTCAACACGGGCTTCTTCAACCACTCCTCACCTAAAGAGTCAGGGTTCTCAATGTGTGCTACCAATTCTTAATGAATAACTTGACTAGAAGATAAAAAAGAACAAATTAAACTAAAGGAATGCAGAAATTGAGCGTACATATATAGGTACTATGATATAGATTAGAAAAAAATCGTTTATAAGTTGTACTTATAAAAATTTAAACAAAAAAATATATTTTAAAATTACTTTGTTTTAATTATTTTTATTAAAAAATTTAAAATATCTTAATTTTTAAGTTAAAAATAAGACTATTTTAATTTTTAGATACGGATTTACCGCACGGGACACAACTAATAAAATAATATATATGTCCATTTAGAATAAGAGGGAGAAATACATAATCCTATAGCCATTTATCTAGTTGTGGTTTATTCCTAATTCCAAACAAACTGTAATGAGAAGCTGCACACAGCTTTCCTTTTATACTTGCACAAAACCTTTCATTATATATAAATTCAATGGTGCCGTTTCATATCAATCTAGAAACATTAATTTAGAAAATATCAAAGGCATGATTCATTTATCCAGAAAAGTAAATTAATGTTACGATTATGCAGTTATATATGGTATTATTTATCAGGGAAAATCTCTGACTTTGTGTGAAATCCAAAAGGATATAATTCCCCTTATACATGATCATGAATTAACAAAACCAATGGTTGTAAGAATTACAAACATACGGATTCATACGTTAACTAAAAAGATAAATCACTATATCCCACAAAGGTCATTAGGTAAATAAAGAACAAGAGACAAAAGGAAACTGAAACAAAAAACGAAAAATACTAAAACTAAATTTAGCAGGTAAAACCACTGTAGTTCACCAAAGATGATAGTAATTGATATCCAAATATTGTGTCATAACTTGCTAACCAAATAGATGTACATGCAGATATATCAGGTACGGGTACTAGATGAGTTCTATGTAGATGTCTTAATTTGATCATACAGCATTAAGAGATTAAAGGTTTGTATTTTTCCTAGATTTAATTCATACAACTAATTAAGTGCTTCTGGTACTTGTGCTTAATTATTTGAAAAAGATATATTTTCAAGGCATAAATATGACATAAGGATCCAAACTTATTATACAAAATTCGTAATGTTGGACCCAAACTTCAATTGTGCTTAATTAAGGTCCCGAACTCTACGAAATTCTCAAATTAAGGTCCCAATTAGACAGAAAACTAACTTCCATCAAATCTAACAAACACCGTTAATGACTTTGTGATGCCGTTTGTCATCGGCTTCCGTGGCGTTGCACCTGCACGCCTTTGCATGTTTTTTTTTTCTTTTACTTCATTTGTTTTTAGTAATAATATTTTTTATTAATTAATTATTTTTTAAATTAATGAATTAATATTATATAATATACATATCCTCAATTATTTTTAATA